TGCCCTTGGTATTTACATAACACATAATAATATAAAACTGAAAAATAAATAACAACTAGAATAACARCAGCTAACCCTAGGATGRCTAGGAACATTCTGCCCTACGGACAGAGTGGGACCACAGCTGTGGGGCCCACATCAGTGTTCTCTACATTATTATTATATATATATTTTCTTTCAGGTGTGTGATGAGCTTGAGGACTTGGTGGAAGAAGGGGGAAACATTGTTGACTACCATGGTTGTGATTTCTTCCCTGAGTGTTGGTTTGATCATGTAGTTGTCCTTCAAACTGACAATTCTGTGTCGTATGATCGCTTAAGCAACAGGTGATGACTTTGTATCTGTGTTTTATTCCTTTTATTTATTTTTCTTAAATTCCACATGGTTAAAATTGTATATGTACAGCAGAGGCTACATGGGTTCAAAGCTCACAAACAATATTGAATGCGAAAATTTTCAAGTGTTGCTGGAGGAGGCAAAGGCAAGTTATCCAGAGGAAATCGTGGTGGCAATGCAGAGTAATTGTGTTGATGACATAAGTAACAATGTAGCCACTTTGACAGATTGGGTGAGGAGTTGGCACTCAGCATCATAATCACATCATCATTGCTCTTCCAGGTGTATTCTTATCCATGACACTATGGCAGCCCCATTTTACCTTACTGCTATGTTTGGTTTTAAGGAAAAAGTAGGGAAAGGAAGGGAAAGAGAGGGAAACCTTTACAAACATTGTATAAGTTTCCCTACCTTTCCCTACCTTTCCCTATCTTTTCCTTCAAACCAAACATAACCTACTGGAAAAGGCTTCATGGAAGTCTGTTTTGGGTTGAAGCACATAACTGGGAAAGAAATTTATCATGTCAAAGATAGATGACCATCTTTGCTATATTGTTTCATCTTTGTCTGATGGCTTTGCTATAATAATGTGTTAAAAGAGTTCAGTGGCATAACAGGGCTTATTCATTGATTTGGAGCTGAAATTGTTGATTACCACTGAGATGTTACAAAAAATATGCTCGGTACCAAGAGTCTGGTTGTTGCCTTAACTGACGATTATTCTTTTTAATCATTAATAGAAAATTGTGGGCAAATATAAAGACAAACTTTATATCCAATTCAATGTGGAATTCAGGGCAGCTAGATTATTTTTTTTCTTTTTCTGATTATGTGCTGAGAGATATTATAGACATTCTACTTTTTGAGGTGGTGTTGCTGCCAAGGATGGGCTGAGGGCAACAAGGTAACTTCACTTCCTTAGCTGATAAGTCCAATCTGAGGAGAATGCACGTCAGAGGCCTCGGGTATTATCCCAGGGGAGGAGTCTCCGACGATCAAGTTAGTCAAGTGCACACAAGGGGATTGGACGAGAGGCCTGAGGAGAGAATTCCGACAAGGTCACCCAAGGGTAAGAGAGCTTAAGAGCAGGAAAAAGGCAAGTGACCTTACCAGTGGGGGGATGCCCCTATTTATACTTGAACTCGCCTAGGATTGGTTGGAGGTTGTTAGCAGTGGATGGCCAGGATACACCATCCTGGCCCTGCCACATGCGCCTACATCAGGTGGTATTTGGAACCGATGCCATTTTTTATTTTTTTCAACAAATGGCGATACATCAGTGCCACATTGGAGAATCATGGTTCGAAGACATGTTCTCTGTTTAGTTGGGAAAAACGCCGAAAAATGACCATGCCTTGGAAATCGGGAAGGCATGATCTGAGAAAATCGTGTTTTCTCATTTTTATACCATTGCTAGCAATGCTTAGCTGATGTGGCAGCAATGGAACCAAACAAAGAATATTGCCGTTTTCTCAGAAAACAATACACCATTGCATCTAAGAGCAATAGAGAAATGGCATCAGTTCCAGACACCACAACACACCATTGCGTCACTGTTTTCTTAAAAAACAACAAACAGCAATAGAGAAATGGGATATTCCAAACACCACCTGTATGTATGGACTTGTGGGCAATTATGAAGACATAGAAGCATGGGAACACCTCTCCTAAAGTCGTACTTATATGTTTTTGACAATCAGATTGGATTCGGATGTGGTCATAACTGATCCAAATCCAACCCAATTACGGCCCTACTTGAAATCTGTATAAAACTCAATGAGTGAAAATGATCAGACCAAAGCAGCATTCTATTTTAGCCTCTATAATTATTGATAAATAAGACAAGTAGAGAAATTATTATCTATAATAAAGCAAAAATATTAGGAAAGTAGAAGGAACTAAGAATAAATATTAAATAAAAGAATATTTTTCACCATACTTTTTATACAATAAAAAATTAAGAGTTTTTGTTCATATGATAGAGTGATCTGTTGAATCCAGAAAAAAAGCGCATCCAACGAAGAAAGAGTTCGGAATTTTCCAGCTCAGCTTTCCACGTGGCAAGAAGGATTCCATCTCAATTCAAGTCGCAACTCGCAACTACTCTTTTTACAAGAAAATGAGAAATAGATCCCACTGAGGCCATTCATGGCAAATTGGAAATGAAGAGCTATACACAGAAAATGTGACCGACGCTATGAGGTGGAGACAGGCAATTGCCGGTTTCCCAATCCTCATCGTATGTCCGCGACAGAAGTCGCTGGAGTGAAGCAGCCGGTCACTTTCAGCCAGTTCCATGCCCAAAGGATATAGTCCTCACTGTTTTCAAAATTTGAAAATCTCTCCGGAGACGAGTTGCAGCGCGCGAAGAGCTGGCTTTCAGAAATTTAGGGTTTTTCTTCTGTAATTTTCTTTGTTTCCCTTGGTGTTTCAGGCAAGTTGGATGCATTGTTGTATTATCATAATTTGTTTTTGTGTTTGTTCTTAAACACTTCTACTTTGCTTATAAAATCTCTAGTTCTCCCAAGCTAGACTATATGCTACGTGATTGATACCTCGAAGTTTACTGTATTCTGATTATTTTCTGCTATTATATAATAATTTGCAGAAAGATTGAATGTTGTATATTCCCGAGGTTCGAGGTAAGTTGTAGGCTGGTGATTTTTGAAAACCCTAATTGCGTGCTGAGTAAGCTCGTAAACTAGGGTTTTTCTATGGGGGAAATGCTTGTTGAAGAGAGAACGTGCAATGGTGAAAGCATGGACTGTTCCTTGTTGGCTCCCTGTTCGAATGGAGCTATCTTGAATGGATATGCTTTTGGATTTGGAGGTGATAATACTAATGGGAATTTGGGAGTGTCTTCTTCTGAGGGGATTCGTACTTACAAGCGGCGGAAGCAGTTGAGGCTGACTTCAGTAAGCAACCTTCAAGAAGACGGAAGGATTTCTGTAGAAACAGCAGGTCAATTCGCAAACAAGGTTTGTACTTTTTCTGCTGTTTTAGTATGAAAGGAAAGCTTGAATGTGGTGCTATAACAAGTTTCCTTTTCTGAAATGCTTGCAGTTAAATAGGCACCTTAATCTGTATGCTGGTATAGATAAGTTGGAAGTATAAGATGGTATTTAGCCTTTAGATCCTTTAAAACTTAAAATGTAAGGAGATATAGAAAAGTTTGTAAGGCCATGCAGGATATTTTGGTTGCAGAGATTGCAATCCCTTGTTAAGAGTGATAAGATGGAGACACAATACACCCATTAGTTGAATTGTATGAGGAATTGGGGACACAGATGTTTATATGCCACCAAGTGCTTTTTTTTTTGATTGGAAACGGTAACTTCATTAAATAACCTTCCAGATTTAAGTACAGCTGTCAACCCCTAAGTAGGTGTTGAGCCCCAGTTATCTTTCTTACAAAACTGCCCAGAACATACTCTCCCTCACAGTCCCTTGTTTAGCCAACGTGTCAGCTAAACCATTAGCTGATCTCCTTGTCCATTTGAAGGATGCACCGATCTCCCTTGTTGTATTGTGGGTTTCCCTTATGGGCTGTCTATAAATCCAGGCTCCCAACTTACCAGATTGCAGCCACTCGATCAACAATTTAAAGTCTCCTTCAATCTCAATTTGGTGTAACCCCAATTGTTTCGCATATCTTACACCTTGAAGCAAGGCCATCACCTCTGCTCTCAATGAGTCCCCCACTCCTATTAGTCTTGAAATCAAAGCCACAATTCTTCCATTTTCATCTCTGAAAACTCCTCCTATACCTGAAGGGCTTGGGTTACCTCTTGAACTCCCATCAAAATTCAATTTCACTCTTTGTTGTGTTGGTGGGGACCACAATTCCTGTACAATAGGTTTCATGGAAGTTGTAGAAGCCACCACTTCCCAATTCCTGTGTCTTCAGCTAAGAAGTCTTTAAATAAATCCAAAGTTTTCAACCAATGAATAGTCATAATAATTGTCCTTTCTACAATTGCCTCCTTGGATTTCTCCACGCCTTTAAAGATTCTATTATTCCTTTCTTCCCAAACTGACCATAAGATAGCTACTCTTGTGGCTCTCCACATTAATCTTCAACGCCTCTTCGGTTTCTTGAAAAAGCTTGGGTCAAAAAGGCTTGCCACATCTGGGGGAGGTGTCCACCTACAACCAAAGATAGAAGAGAACCAAGTCCAAATAAAGTATACAAATGGACAAGAAATTAATAGGTGTGTGATCGTCTCACCAGGTCCCAAGCAGAGGCTACAAACATGGGGTGATAGGCAAACATTTGGCCTTTTTCTTTGCAACATATCTAGAGTATTGATTTTTTGGATAACCACCTCTCAACAAAAAGCCCGAGCTTTTGGGGGTACAGGCTGATACCAAGTCTCCTTTGAAGGAAAGCTCCTTATAAGGTTTGATGATTGAATGAGGATATCAAAAAAGGAAGAGCAAGTGAACACACCAGAAGGGGAAGGTTTCCAAATTCTACTGTCCACACAAGATTGATCCAAGTAAGTTGACCCTAGAAGTTTAATTAATTCATCCACCATTGTCATTTCCGACTCCCTTAGACCTCTCTCAAACCCAAGTCCCAAGAGTTATCAGTAAAGACTGAAGAGATCACGTTTCTTTTATTTTCAGTCCAACCCAAGCATCTTCCCAAAATAAGACCTTATTTCCTGCACAAGCATCAAATTTGACATAAGGAAGGAATGAAGGTAAAATACCATGAATAGCTTTCCAGGGAGAGCACCGGGAAGCCTCAGGGTTGACTCCTGCATCCCAACCATTGTTTTGCAATCCATGAATGCTAGTAATCACTCTATACCAAAGTCTGTCCTCTTCCAAAGGCAATTTTCACAACCATTTCCCCAATAATGCTGTATTTCTTAGCTTAAGATTTCCTATTCCTAGCCCCCCTTCACCTCTACTTTTAGAAACCACCTCCTACTTCACTAGGTGGTCTCTTGGTTCCCAAAGGAAGTCCCTCATAATATTCTCTAGCTGGTCTGCTACTTTCACCGGTATCCTAAAGGTAAAAAGGAAATACACTATTAAGTTAGCCAACATTGACTTTATTAGGGTTATCCTACCTCCCAAAGAAATGTAATTTCTCTTCCAATTTGCAAGTCTCTTTGTAAAATGATCTGAAAAGACCTATTTCTCATTGATGAGGATGAATGGGTATTCACTTGGGGTAATCTCTTTCATATCTCAATCTTCATCCTATTTGAGTGAAGATGCCAGATTCAAACCCTGAATGGGAACCATGTGTTGTTTGAGGTCCATAGAGTGCCTTTGTGCAGATTCTAATCATGAAAAATCCAAAATTTGGCTCATGCCTTAGGACAATACCGAAAAAATTAATCATTAAAATATCCATTCCATAATGCACCATGACCACAGTAAATAAAATGATAGATGCAGTATAGCAATTTTTAGATTTTGGCTGTTATAGAGGGTGCAAATTGCAAAAGGGCTATGGAACTGAACAGTAGCAGGTTGATCATTGAAGGTGATTCAAAATCGATAATAGGTTGGCTAGAGAAGGAGGAGGATGGCTTGTGGAGCTACATTAATGAAAGAAGAAAGTTTAAGTGGCTGACTCGGGGAATGGAAGTAAGACTGCAGTGGGTTAAAAGATGTGCTAAGTCCTTTGTAGACATACTTGCTAAACAAGGGGTGGGAAGGAATCAAATGTTTTGGGCTATCTTGTAATGCTGTTGTTCCTTGTGGGGAGAATTAAGAGATTTTACCTCTCCCTACTTCTGTACTTGTTTCTCATTGCTTATTTCTAATAAAAAATGATTCTGTTATTGATAAAAAAATTCTGAAAGAGGCCACTTTATGCAATAAATACTAAAGGTTAGGTCTGGGTTTAGCCTACCCTTCACAAGTGACAAGACCCTGGGTATGTGTGAAGCTAACGGAAACTATATGTGGTGGCATTTATAGATATTAAGTGATCATCAATGTTCTATTCTTAATTGACATTATGCTAGGAGAAGGTTCATAATCAATGTTGTTGGTGCTTATGCATTTTCTTTCTTGATTTTTCATTGTGTTTTAGCTCTTTCTATTAGTGCTTCTGTACTTTTTGACATTTTGATTTTCTTTTTTCTGGGAAGGAAGAATCTCATGTGGTTTTCTTTTTTGCTTTCATTCCTATTTAACAAAACTTGTCATCAATCTGTTACTGAAAAAGGAGTGTCCCTAGTTTTTTCCAATTGGAAACATGGGTGCCCTTATTACACATCTTCCCTTTTACCAGCGTTTTAAAAGCGCAAGGCGCAGGGGTAATGTTGTTCGTTCATTCATCCTACTAAAATATCTTCTTAAAAAGCAATTAAAAATAAAAAAAATCATTATTTTTGTGTGAGAACTAAGAATTTAGGACCCTAACATGGACTTGTTTAGGCTTGCCTTGAGGGGTCTGGCATAAAAGCGGCTCATAGAATCAGGAATGTAATATGTTTTACATCACATTAGCTACTTTAAGTAATGCAATGGAGGAAAAAAAGAGATTGTGGGTTTTACATTGACCCCTATGCCTTATTTTGCGCCTTGCGCTTTTAATACACTGAACTCTACTATCAAGGAGAAACCTATGGTAGATTGGAGGCCCCCTGAAGGTTTTATCAAGTTGATTTTTAATGGTTGCAGTCTAGGCAATTCGGGACCCTCTAGTATTGGGGGGTGTTAAAAAATGCGGAAGGTCAGATTATTGCTTTGTTCTTTGGTCCCATTGAAGTGGGGGATGCTGTTAATATGGAAGTCCATGCAGTCTTACAGGGAGTGGAACTTGCTAGAGAGCTGGGTTTTGATAGATTGCTAATTGAAGGTGACTCTATGAAGATTCAAGTGGCTAACCACAAGGTATGGGAAGATGAGGGTGTGATAGGTATGGGAAGCTGAGGGCACAATAGGTTAAGATTTGTTTCTTTGTTGGAAGAGACGCTAAGGAGGATTGACAAGATGTTGCGTGTATCCTTATATATATATATATATATATATATGTATATATGTTTTCAATTAGAAATCTTGGTCAAATTAGGTCTGAATTTCAATGAACTAACTTTTAAAATGGTTCAATGCCCAGAGCCCCAGACTTGTTCTTAAAACATTGGCTTGATATTTTCTAAAATGTCTTGACACCCTGGACTGGCCGCTTTTCAGGCATTTTTACTTCACCTGTTATAATCATTCTTGGCATTTTATTTGCTTTTCATTTTAAGCGTGTAGGTCTTTTATTATTATTATTATTATCAAATTCTGGAAATACTGTATTAAATCTGCTTTTTACTACCCTTTAAAAACAAAACCGCTTTTCTAATAAGCTTTTATGTTTTATGAAGAATGTAATCTCAATACAAAGAGATTCCATTACCTAACAATCTGCTTTTTTCATCATTAATCTTCCAATTGTTTTAATTAATTGAAAAATGTGGTTGAATAGCATCCTGCAAACTGAAAAGGTAAAGGAAAACTATTTTAACAAATTTGATGGCTAAGAGAGGAAATTGGTACAGGTTAGAAGATCATTTCATCTTAACAGTCTGCCAGACTTAACTATCAAAAAAAAAAAAAACAGTCTGCCAGACTTTTTTGTTTCTTTTGGAACTGAAGTTTGCAGCGGTTGCGAAGTGGCCATCCATGAGCACTTTGTTGCCTAGGCGTTACCTTGGCGACTATGCATTATATATTCCTGTACTCATTTCTATACACGGAAGCAACACTCTCTCTTTAGTGTAAAACCTTTGAATATTATTGATGATGATGACATTTGACCTTTGCTTCTCTTTTCTTTGTGTAGTTGATCCTATTTGAGCTTTGTCTGGCTTATTTGGTTTTCTACAGGCAATAAAGAAGCCTGGGGACATGGTTCTTCTACGCAGGAATTCTAATGAGCAAACTGTTCCGAATGGTTCAAATGACTGTACAAATGCCTTCTGGAGGAATATTGTGCTTGAACAAATATCACAGTCATTAGGTGAGAGTGAAGGTGGTGTTCGGAGTTGCATCCGTGAAGCACTGAGGTGCAGTTCATTTGGTTTTGCTAGCATGCCTAAGATGCAATCTGTGGCTGAGAAAACTACATGGGGCCCGGTAATTTTAGTATGGCTTACAGAACCCACTTACTATCTGTATTTTCCATTAATTATTAATATTATTGGTTGGTTAATTCACCATTTACAGGATTCTGTTGAGTGTAATGGAGATAGTCAGAGGTTCTGCTCACAGTTGCATGGGAAAACTGAAATACTGGACATAGTACAGAATGCCGCTAAGGTGCATACAAGTGCTACTTCCAATGAATCGCAGAATGAGACAAGCAGTCAAGCAAATGTTCATCATGTCTCTGAATTGTGTCAGCAGATTTTTCTTAAAATTATAGTTTCAGAGAAATTTTCTTTGTTGTGTAAGCTACTCTGCGAAAATTTCCCAGGTGTCAAGGTTGACAGCTTTATCGACTTTAGTGTTATCAATTCAAGGATGAAAGAGGGGGCTTATGGACAGTCTCCGATACATTTTTGTACAGACATTCAACAGGTAATTTGTCATTCCTTTTATATTGCAATCGATTTCTATTTTCTCTACAATCAACAATCAAAAAATTATGTTTGGTCTCTGGTGACATCTCAAAGTGTAACATCTGAAGATCTTTTCAGCCTGATATTAAATATAAGGGCTGTTATAGTGCTTCATAATGAAAAGATGATTTTTAAGTTTGATTTATCTTTGTGCATCTTTCTCCATTTATTACATGCATCAGATCCCAAATGTTGTGAACATCAACAATTTGGTTGTTCTAAGCTCTATTTATCAGCCTATGGTTGTTCAGCTTTATTTGTACTACTAACATTTTTTTGAGAATAGTATTATGCCCTTTATCTTCTATAAGTCAGATCTATTGTTAATAATAGAAAAAGCTATTCTAACTATCTAAGATATCACAACTTCTTGTTCTTCTGACATGCTGCGTCTTTTATGAAACTATGGAACTAATCAGCTATCCAGATAATTGTTAACAAGACTCAATTTATTCAGACCTGTTGCGTGATTCAGTTGTTAGTTAAATTTCCATCTCCTTGAATAATCCCATTTTATTAGCAACATCCTTGTTCCAAATAAAGTGGAAAATGATCTGTTTTTGTGGTCATCTGATCTGACTGAAGATCAAATGATGTACGACAGCTTCAATCTACCAAAACATCCTTCTATCTATATAGCTTATATTAAAAGATGAGATAGCTCAGTCCTCACTTTGTCAAAATTTTCATTGATCTAGCCTTTTGTTGTAATAAAACAGCACAATTCCATTTATACCCTCCCAACTAATGAAACAATGACTTCCCAAATTCATTCTTTTTACCTGATTTTAATCTTGCCTTTTTCTTACTTTTTTTTGTTTCTTTAGCACACAATACTATTATTCTGCACATGCTGGGGCTATCTAGTAGAGGAGGAATATTGAAACCTAAAGTCTGTCTTGATCATCTTAAGCCATGGCATGAGTAAAATAGCTCCTTTCTTTCAACTTGATCCTGGAATTCATACACATGTATTCTGTCTCTTTTTTGTTTTATAAGCTGTTAGAATACCTACAGTGAGCATTCAAACAGTTGATACAAGCTTGTTAGTCTAGTTGTTGTGCTCCATTGGCTTGAGAAGGAAAAATACCTACATGACATTGTGAACTGTGCAGGAAGTCAATATGATCATTGATTCAATGACTGTCAGGGTGGCTACTGGGTCAGCACAAGAGAGGAGTTGAAGGGTGAGGCTATGGATTTGATCCTAAGAGTGTGGTAGGTTGTTGATCATGTATTTCGAAGAAGGCTAGTTTATTCAAGACTGGGGAGCTCCAGACAATGTGTATATTAAATTGAACTTTGATGGATGTGCCTTGTGATATTCTGGCCCATTGGGTGTGGGGTATGTGTTTAGAGACTATTCTGGGAATGCCATTTTAAAAGTAATTAGAACTTGTTTGTTGTCAGTTTCCTAAGTTGAAATTGGAGTTTGTAAAGGGAGACTCTATACTTGATGAGTCTATAAATAGTCATTGCATTTGAATTTTGAGGAGTGAAATAATAAAATAAAAGTTTTCTTTGAAGTTACTTACAAGCAAGAGTGTGATAATTTCTGTATGTGGTTTTTTTGTCTCTCTATCTTCTCCGTTTTCTTTTACATTTCAGATCTAAAATCCTTCTCCCCTTGCCCCTTATATCAGATATGAATTATTTCTTTCTTGTCCTTCTAGCCCACCATTGCTAACCAGTAGGGCTTTCCTTCCTACATCAGATGATCAAGATGAAATTGACATTCAAACATTTACTGGTGGTTTACTAATAAAAGATTGCTTGCAATGCATTATAGCATTTATGTCCAAGAAAATAAAACCACAAAACCAAACTTGATATTTTAGTTATTGGTCTCAAGTGAAATTTATAAAAGTAACAATTGAACTCTCAAAATCATTAAGGTGCTAATTTGAAAAAAAAACCTATTAAACAACCTTATGCAGTCCATAAATTGGATACAACTTTTCAGATTGTCTATTTTGCATTATCTTTGACTCTTTGGTTCGGTAGTTAAATAAGCTTTCTGATGGTTAAAAAGGAATACAGAAGGGATTATAAAATGTTAGTGCAGAAAACTAAAGCCATAAGTAAACTTAATACACCATGAATGGTTCATATAATGTAGATGTTGATCTTGCTTTTGTGGCCAATTGTGAAGCCTGAACTTGTTTGAGTAGTCTTCTGCATCTGGAAAGCTACCATTACATGCCTTTGTCTGATGCTTCAATATCTCATAAAAAAACTGAATTATTATCTGGCATATATTCTTAATTTCATAGTTTATGACATTAAGACAATTGGCACTTTAATCCATCAATGCTTCATGGTAACCTGTGGTGGCACTGAAATTTAATAGCTGTTTTTCAGACCATTAGCAAGTTTCTTTAACTCCCCACATACAATCATAATCTGGAAGACCACTTATGAAATTTGTTAGCAGTTCCTGTTTGGACATGAAGCTTGTGTATCATATATTTGTTTTAAGGTGGCTTTTTAAAATCAGTTTTTATGTTATATGTATCTCATGCCAAATATTTCTCAGGTATGGGGAAGGCTTCAGAGGATAGGGGCTGAAATGGTTTCTCTTGCGAAGAGCCTTGCAAACATGTCACAGACTACATACCGTGAACAGGTATGGAGAATGGTTTATGTCTGCAACTCTATCTGGCACCATTGGGTGCTGTAGTTCACTGAAAATCTGGTTGACCATGCAATACTTCTGGGCCTAGTTCTCTATGAGGCTTTGCTTTTGCCTCTAGATCCATTATTTTCTGCATTTGTGTTCAGTGACCTTGGTAAACTGTTTACTCATCTTGCATTACTTGTCCTCTCAGGCTGGAGGCATGGTAAATGGAACTTCTGAAGAAGGGAAACATGTGGTAATTAATTTCTTCAATTGTAGAATGTAGGTCCAATCATGTAGAACAATAATGTTTAATAGAACTGCACTTACTTAGATTTGTGTGTGTAGTTTCACACTTTAATAGTGTTTCTCCTTGTATCATGCCAATAAGATTAGGACTTCCTTTGCAGGAGGGTATCAATCAATTTAGTACTAAACAGAATGATTCAATACTGTTTCCCAGGAATCTGACCTCCAGAAATTGGAGAAAGCAGAGGATTGTGCCACAGACAAAGTTTGCAAGTGCACAAGTTGTGGAGCTAAGACAGAGGGAAAGAACTTGGTCTGTGATGCATGTGAACAAGCGTTCCATATCCGTTGTATTGAGCCTGTCTTTGAAGAGATCCCACCAATTGATTGGTTTTGTGACAATTGCACAGCCAGTGGAATTGAATCACTACAAGATAATTGTCTAGTATGTGGTAGACTAAATGACACCATGATCCAAACTCATGGAGGTGGGAATGAGATAGTTCCAATAGGTGAAGAACTTCTTAGTGACTTGGAAGAGAGATCAGATTGTAGTGAGGGTGCTAAAAATGGGCTCCAGCCGTCCAGCAGAAACAGAAGACATTTCTCTTGCAAGCTCTGTGGAAGCCGAGGAGAAGAAGGCCAGAAACACCGTTTATGTGGGCACCCCTTCTGCCTTTTTAAGTATTATCATGTAAAATGCTTAACCATTGAACAGTTGAAGTCCCATGGTCCACATTGGTACTGCCCTTCATGTCTCTGTAGAGTTTGCCTCACTGATCGGGATGATGAGAAGATTGTCCTCTGTGATGGCTGTGATGAAGCATATCACATCTATTGCATGGAACCTCCACGTACTTCTATTCCAAGAGGGAAATGGTTCTGTATTCAATGTAAAGCTGGAATTGAGGCAATACGCAAAGCTAAGAAGGCATATGAGGATCTAGAGAAACAGAAAATGAAGCAATTGGCAATTGAAGCTGTGGGATCAGTGGACATGCTTCTAAATGCTGCTGAAAAGCTTAAGTGCGAGGAGAGATTGGCTTCTACTGTAAGGAAGAAATAGGAAGAACATTAAATTTTCACTGAAAGCTGGGGGGTAAAACACTCCATATTATGGTCTGTACTGTAGTACTCCCTTGGCAAGGGTTTGTACATTTTGTTTGAATACCCGAAAGCCAAGAAAGCTACCCTCACCACATTGTTTAGAAGACTAACATCATTCATCTACCTTGTAAACTGTGTAGCTGATGGGAGGGATTGGCTGGTGTTTTCTTTTCTCTATTTTAAGGGGGAGAAGGGCTGTGAAATCTGTTATGATTGGGTGATCCCCCATCGTAAAAATGATGAGTGCAGATCTAATCAGCTTTTTAATGGGCATCGGAACTCCAAGGCAATGATGCAAGGTGTTGTAATATTAAGAAATTGTGTCCGAACGGCCTGTTTCATCATAATCCAAATTCAAGGATTTTTTTCACTGTAACGTTTATTTTGTTGAACTTGTAATTTGATTCTACCCCTTCTCCCCCCTCCCCGGTTTCTCTATGGGGCTCGGTTCCACTTTCATGGATGTTTCCACTTTCCGTTCACATGAGACTCTGTAATTGTATTGCTGCCGTATTCTCTATTAGTCTTGTCTAGAAGTTGTTTTTTTTATTACTAGGTCTAGGACTACTTATGTTGCATTTGATGTACCCATTTATAAATTCATTCCCTCTAGTAATGTAATTTACCCGACGACCTCCTTAATGAGATATCAAGACTAATAGTAAAAATTTGGGTGCAAGCTGGTTGCCACCTTGGGATGGGATTATAATTGGGTATTGAATAGCATTAATAAATTAATTGAAAATGTTCAAAATATTATATATTCTTCATAAAGGAACCGGAAAGGACTTATATATTGACATATTGTATATCATGAGCAAAATATATTTAAAACAAGAAAATTATTACATTTGACGTCTTGAACCACAGTTCATAATATTGATACGATACACTCATTTGTTTTAGCAGCTCAGCGATAAAAATAAAAGAAAATAAGTTTTTGATACTATCCTGATACACATGTTCGTGCATATTGGTGTGTTTGTACACTAAAGTTTGGACCATGTCATAAACCAATGGCTCTTTAGTGAAAACATAACATTTCAACTATAAAAATTTGAAATATATGTATAAGCATATACATTTAAATTGAATCAAATCAAATTTCATTGAATCGGATGGGGTGCAAGGTTCAAAATATCAATATGTTCGATAGGTATCGATACTTTTTTTTTTTAATTTTTTTTCAAAACCGATTCAGGGGGCCGGTTTAAGGCTCCACCCCCTGAACTTGTCAGAACCCCTATTCACCTTCTGTAGGGGCGTATCAGAGAATTCTCAGAACGATATATATTGGTTGATACAAACCAATACATGTCGATACTTTGAACCTTGATAGGATGAATCCATATTTAATCTAATTATAAATGAATATTTCAGATCACCCTTAACCAGATCCGAAATTAGATAATTGGATACCATTTGCAACCCTAATTGGTACCAACCTCTTGGACTTGACCTATATCTAATAAAGTAGCATGGGTTGCACATAAGATTTTTTGCTAGCGGTATTACCATTTTTCCATTAGGGTGGTTGTGAACTGATCAAAATGAACATGGTGGGAGATGTTAGATGCAATGCACAACGGAATATCGGAATTCAGTACTTGGGAACTTAATTATCAGTGACCATCCAGTGATCCAGGTATTATTGTCTCGGTTAAACCATACAGGCCTAACTGGCTTTAGTAGTTTCGGTCTTCTAAGATCACTTGTAGTAGGAAAAAAAGAATTGGCTATGTTATGTGACTGATAAAATAAAAGATACTGCCATGAATGATCTTTTCCACAGTGACAGGGAAACAGGGAAAGTGTGAATTAGAACTTGTAGTACTCGCGTCTTTTTGAAGATATGGTTTTAAAAAACCGACTCAGAATTGTTCTGGCCACCAGTTTCTGAGTTAACAGTTCGATCATTTGGTTTGAACAGATGGCCCATTTCAACTTTTAAAATAAAAAATAATTAAAATATAAAAAATGGCCGAAAACCGTTGAATGAGTTGATGGTTTGACCACCTGTGTTAGCAGGTTACTGACTAATTCAACGGTTTTTGAACAAAGATCAGATTTAGGGTAAAACGAAACTGAGTGCTTGGATGATTCCTGAGATGAACGGTCTAATCATCTAGATCAACGGCGGTTCAAAAACACTGTGATAAGATGCAAAACTCCTATGGTCTGTTCATGAGGAAGAGAACAAATGTACTATACTTATCTCTTAAAAGTCACAAAGTCGTTATCAAAAGAAGCAAAACTCCCAAAGTCTGTTGATTTGGAAGAGAACATGAATAGTATACTATCTCTCAAAATTTCACAAAACCAAAGTTTCAAATCTCTACCTGGACTAATCAGTTATGGCATTGCTATTTGCCACTAGGATGTGCTCTAAGTAGTTTCTCATTCTTTAGTCTAAGTGCGAGTCCCTATAAAACCTTGTACCATTCAAAAATTGATTGGTGCATTGGCCATTTTTCTAACCGTTCAAGTTTAAACTAAAGGTGGATGGTGCTTCTTGTGGCAATTCAGGTGTGGGATGGTGGTGTTATAATCATAGTATTCAAAACCAGACCGGATCAGATGGTCAGACTGGAAAACCTAGGAACCGGTCAGGTAATTAGTTTCATTGTACCCTAAAATTGCTTTTCAGCCAAAAACCATTGATTTGGTTAGCGATCCACTGATCTGGGTAGTCAAACTATCAAATCATTGACCCGAACAATGGTTTTGGCCATTTTTATTTTTTTAAGTCAAAAGGGTATGTCCATTCAAACCATTCGACCCAAGAACTGATCAACCTTGATCAATTACCTATATTATGAGGAAAGTTGATAGAATTACTAGTAATATGTGTTGGTAGAGTGGCCATAGGCCCTCATTTAATCCTCAACATGTTGGAATATCTAATGGCCATGTGACAAGCCACATGTTGATGGAAGATGATTATTTTATGGTTATCTCCATGCAATAATCTATAAAAATAAATTTATTTGAAAATGTTTTTATGCATGGAGATACCAATATTGTTGGATTATTCTAGATCCAAATTCTAGTTCTTATTGGGTCAATGGATATCCATTTGACCCAGTCTAGACTGGATGACCATGTGGCTAGATCCTTGTTCAATATGAGACACTTGTCTCAATCCGGAGGGGTTTGACTCAATCAACCAAACGGTTACACTTCAATGTTCCTATTAGCATTTATTGCACACAGTAGGACGACGTTGTTATAAAAGGGCACTTAGCTTGTTTCTAAAGCACACGAAAAAGGCAGTTAAGTGAGGGAAGAGTATAGAGCCTCCCGGTTAGCCCAATTCGGATTAAGCAGTTCGAGGTTGCACTTTGCTTCCATGGGCTAGTGTCTCGAGTCCTATATTGTGCGCTACTCTTTTTTCTCCTGTATGCAGGTTTGGTACGCCAAGATCTCAATTGTCCATCTCTGCATCTATTCGGTCCTTCAATATGGAGATTAAATTCTTTCATTGGCTTAGAAAAGGCGACATCAGGTGTGCTGGCATCCTAGTTAACATAGGTGTTGATGATGAAAGATTGGGGCTCTTTGAAGGTAATTCATTCACGACTTTCCAATAACCAATCTCTCCAATCTGCCAAGGGAAAGATTATATGGGTATTCCTATGCTGCATATTGGCTAATAAGGACCAGGTTTGAGTTGAATCCATTCAAATCAAAATCAATTTAAATGAATTGGGCGGATCAATAAAATATATTAAATTGGACCAATCCAGCCTTAATGGTCCAAAGTATTTATTTAATTGGATTGGAATTAATCCATTTGTAATGGATTTATATTAGGCAAGATTAGATTGAATGAATGGCTGATCTATTGATATAAGATAAGAGTAGGAGTGTTAATAGACCAGATATGGATTGGACCCAATCTAACTTAAAAACAATTTGAATAGTTGGAATAGTCTAAACATTAAATTGAATCAATTTAGAATGGTCCATGGATTGAATTGGACCTGGTCCATCTATAATAAACTGATATTGGACCAATATTATTGATAGCTAGGCCACCTTCAGGTTTAGTATGCAACAGATTGCTTCTATCCACAGATGTTGTACATAATTTTGATCAAACCGTCTTGATCTATTTTCTTTCATTTTTCTTTTGATATCTCTAATAACAAAATATTTAAAAGGAAACGACCGATAAAGAAAGAATTAAGAGCCTGAACACGATCTTTACAATTTTGTGCTCTTGGTCTCTACTCAAGTGCGGGCCCCTGGAAGACATGGCGTCACATGAGTTCCACCTGTGGGCCCAAATAGGGCTTTACTTTAAGCCCATCATAGGCCCAGAGGAACTGGAAAGGGTTGGATGCCATTATGCCAACAGCTTTCGTGACCCTTTGAGTCTTTTCTGGGGGACAATCCCGCCTCACCATCAATCACATCACTTCATATCATCTATGAGGTTAGTTTGGCTTTTAAAGAAGCTAGCTATACAAATGTACAAAGAGATTCGATCTGCTCCTCACACCTGGCGCCTTATAGGCGCTTTACACACATCCTACCATGCATTTGAAAACATCTTCCACGTATTAGTTATTATTTACGGGAGATGTTCGCAATGTATGGTGGATGTGCATGTGAGGCGCCAATTTGTGAGGAATAGATCCTGTCTCATGTAGAAACCGGATTTGCTCCTCACACCTGACGCCTCATAGGCGCCTTACACATATCCTATCATGCATTGGAAACAGCTGGAGGATTGTTTACAGGAACTTCTAGCCTTCTAAGGTTGTACAAAAGTTAATTCATGCATCTCTTTCTTTTCTCTGGAGAGTTTTAAACTTTAAACAAGGCATCACAGTTGGTCTGCATTTATTCTGTCAAACCCAACCAAAAGAGAATAAAAAGGAAAAACAAAACTAAAAGAAAAAGAGATGTGTAATGTTGATCTCACCTTGTATTTGATGGATGCCAATCATGTATATTGCTCTTACTGCGTTGCCATTTATTGCTTTAAATGTGTATATGCATAACTTCATGACTTTATGTAGCTGTTGTTATTTGTTTGGTCATTACTTTAAACCATTTTTGCTTTTCACCTCAGATTAATACCTATAAAAATATGTTACATAGGCATTTTGTTTCAAAAAATATTGGGGCATTGAGAGATGAAAATTTAACGTTTTCCCAAATGTTCTATACACAAAAATCAAAGCATTTCTATTTTTTAATGCTTATTTGATAAACGGTAAAATCAAACAATGATTTCGTATACAATAAACATCGATGCCTATGTAACACTGATAAGCATTAGCAAAATAACTTGGTTGGTTGGGGAGCCCCATCTCTTGGTCCCGGTGTTCTCTGCATTCAATTATTCAACACATGTGATGCAAGCTTTCCTGAGTGCTGCAAGTAAGAAAGGAATTTCATCTTTATTCCTTGGCATTGGCCGGAGAGGATACAAGTTTTCTTCCTTTTTCCTCTCCGATTTTTCAGACATTGTTGCAGCAGACCAATCAAAAAATATGTCGTGTCATCCATATTTGGGAGAATCTTAATTTGATAATATAAAAACATGGAAACAAGGTAATATAGCCATGTTTTGATTGGCCCACAACCGAATAGTCTCAAACCCACTGTAGTGAAAGTGAACTTATAACAGCCCAAGAAAGAAAGATTATTATATCATGCATTCAGGTAGGTCCCATATAAGATCGATCTAGATATGTGGTACAGATTTGATATTGCCAAGGGGATCCTTTATAACGTAGTAAATTGAGTGGAATGCATAAAATCCTATTGTAATAATAAAGATGAAATGTCATGCCAAGTGAGGTCAATTGCATATAAATATATATATAAGACCACATCAGCTCAGCTGTTATATCTAAACCTAATTACTCAATGAACATATATAACCAGATGCAGAGAGATACATAGTATATCTGGAGATGTGGAACTGTTGATTTGGTCAGTTTGGATAATTCAATCATCGATTCAGATAGTGATTTTTTTATCCTTTTTTTTTTATATTTTTGTCAAAACGGACTATCTGTTTGAACCGATTGATCGGATTATTTGACTTGAGAACAAAAACTAAATCATACTTTGGGCTTTGATTGGGATTGTGACTTTGATTATGGTAGCAAAATCAGAGTACTCATTTAGTTGTAGAACTTACAAGCATGGCTAGCATTCCATTTGGGTCAATCAATTCAGTCCAGAAGGATGAAAATAGTCTGAGTTGCATTAGGATTCAGCAGCACAAGTGGGTCCCTTTGCACACAAAACTGTGGCTTTGTTGACAATTCCCAATCAATGAAGTAAAATCCAACTAAATATTGGAGCTTTGGAAGATAGCCAGAGCCTGATGGGAAATGGGTCATATATTCTCCAGACTGGACTCATTTCTTTTATATATATATACATACATATTATGAGCGATAGTCACGCCACTCTGGGGGGCACCAAATATCACATTTGTCCAATTCCTACTAGGCCACTATAACAGCAGAGTCATGCATGTGCGCCAATGCCCTGTCCATGAGCTTGAAACGTCCATTCATGATCCCCTAGAAAAGACTTAATTGGTAAGGTTCTGTCCCCATTTTCCAACTTGCAGAAACATACCAACATGATTGATACTTGGAAATTTGGCTCTAATTTTATTACAAGAAAACTAATGGCTTCAGTTTGAGGACACTCTGCCCCCAGAAAAAAGGCCGCATCCTCACTATCTCATGTCTTAGGCACAGCACTCTTCAACCCTTCTCTCTTTTTCTCTCATTCATTAGAAGACACCAAAAGATGCCCATGTGGGCACTATAGTGAAGTGATTGCATTCAATAATCAAATTAATTGAGGGTGTTTTTAAATAGTCTCATATTTGTTTTTTTCAAATTTTGAAAAGAGAACACAAGATTTTGAGAAGATTGAAAAATAAAGGAAAAAGGAGAATGAATAAGCTAAAGATGGATAAAAAATAATAATGAAATATCCACATTTGTATCTCATTTATATTTTGGTACTTTATCCACGTATATTAATTTTTGTAGGGATGGCAATGGGAGGGTTTTGTAAATTCTAAACCTTACCTGTCTCCCTAAACCTTTTAACTCATATTTACTCCAAATAGTAAGTTGGATTTTGAGAAATTAAATTCTTCTCATATGTGAAAATACAAAACCATCGATCCCCAACCCTATCTTTGGTGCATTCAAGTGTAGGGGTGGGTTGGGTTTAGAACCCACATCTAATTTTCAATTATTTCTTGTTATATATAAACAATACATAAGTAAAATAATACAAATAAACAACAAATTTTAATTATTTGATTAAGATATATAGAAAAAACATAAACTATCAGTTATCCTTTACATAAAATTCAAAATATTATTAAATTCAACACCTAATACATAAAAATTTATACGCTTTTCAATAATATATAAGTCAGAGAAAATTGGATTTAGCCTAATATCATAAAAAAAAGCCCTATTAGGAAGGGTATATACAGATACCCTCCAAGTAAATTAGAAATTGCCATCAAAGAAGGCAAAGCCACTACAACTAACTTCAAAACCATACCGGCTGACCCAATTAGCACCTCCAAACCCTAATCTTATCCCACCACAACTTCAACTTGAATTCATGCGCGTTGCATGCTAGTTATTTTCTTTGCATGAAATGAAACTTTTCACAAATTGGTTGTTCTTCACCTAAAAGCAAATTTGATGTATTGTCCAACCCAAACAAGTCATGTTCTAGGTTGGTTGGTTTGGTCTAACCTAAACTAAAATCTTAAGCCCATACCCGACCCGGGCCCAAGATTTTACGTGCTATGACAGTACTTTCATCTCTCGATAGACATTTGTACGATTAGGTAGCAGTACTACTATCAGGTAGCGGATCTGCTCTTCACAAATGGGCGTTTTACAGGTACATCCACCGTTCATTGGAAACATTTAAAATGTTCCCGATGGATGGCTATGAAACACCTGCCTGCGAGGCGCAAGTGTGAGGAGTAGATCCGGTCTCTACTATCAGAAGCTGATGCGAGGATGCAAGCATGGATCCTGTCCTTTCGATTGACTCTTGGGTGGGCCCCAGTTCGTCGATCATAGCCAGTCACGGCCTCTACCTCTAGTAGTCAGTATTGAGTACATCCAACCATAAACGTTGAACCACCCTCCCTGATTGCGATGGTCCAAATACTGGCCCACTGATTCCGGGGTGAAATAGGTGGCTGTGGACACAGGCCCACCTTGTCCCATGAAAACGATGGGCTGGGGTCCAGCCTATCAAATTCCGTCAAACTTAGTCGATGTTGATTGGAGCTACGTACACGTGTGGCTTCCTTACTTGGTGAGTCACAATCTTGGGACGGTACACCGAATCGGGACGCGGACAGGCTCGCGACACGGTACGGCAACCTATGGGGGAGTTCCGCTTATGTGTCAACACTGAAGAACAATTACGTGTTTCAGCCACTCTCTCGAAGCCACGTGGCGTTAACAGTTGGCTCCGAAAACGCGTTCTAGCTGCAGAAAAATATACACGGTTAAACTTTTCCAATCCCGGGGCGTCATTACCTGCATAAACGCCACACTTTAATACATTGCTCAAACATAATCGAACCGCAAAATGATCCTACGTCAGAGAGATCTACCGTTTATGGCAGATCATTTTAGGTGGTTCCCACTTAATCTACTGAACCGCACGTAGATTACACACTGCGTATCACGTCTCTGAGCAGGGTCATAAATGTCATTAAAATGTTGGATTTGAGCATATCATCATGAAAAATGTGTCCATATCTGAAATGACAAAAATACCCTTATGGGATATAAACGGGATTTCCTACTAAAAATAGAATTTTACAGCATATCAAAGATTTGAGAAACGATTCCATAAAATTAAAAGGATACTAAAATCAGTATGCAAATCCATCTTGGCCATTGAGACAAGATCTGGTAAGGAATCTTGGATTTATCCCAGAGATCTCGTTGGATATCTATGAGACAGAAGGGCAATTTGGTCATCCGACGAACCTTCCATGAAGTTTTTGCCTTCGTCGGTTTTCTTATCTCTTCGTGACGAAGTTATTTAATTAAGAATTTTTCTGGCACTCGAAACAAAATTTTGTTTCCATTTGTACCAGACGCGTGAATGGTGACGGTATATTAACAGTATAAAGCCCGAGTCTTCTCTTCCACCTCTACGTACACCATTTCGTTCAGAGCTTCCCCTGCTCTGTAGTCTCTGTAGTCTGTATCTTCGCTCCATGGCTGTATGTGAAAGCTATAACGCAGCAGACTTACTAGACTTTAAGTTAGACGACCTAGAAGAGAATTTACGAGAGATCGACACGCCTTTCCAGGCAGGTTTCGACGATTTTCCGGCCGGTTTCGACAATTTTCCGGAGATTTTCGAAGGTTTTACGGGCAGTCAGCTATGCGTTCCAGAGGATGATGTAGAGAATTTAGACTGGTTCCCGAATTTTACTGAGGATTCCATTTCGTTAAGTGATGTTTTGACGGCTTCGGAGAATAGTAGTATTTCTCCGACGACCCCAGAACGGGAAACTGAGAATGGAAAGAGTTATTCGTCTGTGGATGTATGTGGGTTGTTGAGGCAGACGATACCCAGCAAAAGGCCCAGGACTAAGAGAGTGGGCGGACGCGTTTGGTCGGGAAATGTCATGCGGTTTTCTTTGCCGGAAAGTCAGGTTCCGGCGAAGGCTAAGAGGGGGAAATATAATATAATGGGAAGAAGATGTACACACTGTGACGCGGAGAAGACACCGCAATGGAGGATGGGGCCAATGGGACCGAAGACCTTGTGCAATGCTTGTGGGGTTCGTTACAAGTCAGGGAGGTTGATGCCGGAATATCGGCCGGCGGCGAGTCCCAGTTTCAATAGTTTGCTGCATTCGAATAGTCACAAAAAAATAATGAAAATGAGGAAAGGAGAGTGAGAGAGCTAGAGATGCTTGTTTGTTTGAATGAGTTTTTAGAGATGATTTTCTTTTATTTTTAGGGGTAGGATTATTTTCTCTTTTTATTGAAATTCTTTTGTTATAACTTTAGAAGCATACATCCTAAATTCATATTCATTTATTTGATATGCCAGTGGGAGAGCGTGGCAATGGCTTTATTTCATTGTCATTGACTCAAAATCACTTACCGGAATTTTTTTTGGGGGTAAATTATAAAATCCTCGTTTAATATGGAATCAATGACAATTACCGCTTAACTTTTATTTGCAACAAATACCTTCTTTCGCTAACTTTTAAAAAGTTTATAATTGATAAATTTAATACCATATTTATTATTATTATTATTATATATAATTAATAATAATTGATTGTCACCGGCACATATAAGAGGTATATTTTGCTCCAATGGAGAGCACAAATTATTAGTGAAAACAAATGGAAGAGTAGATCATGTATAACAATGAGAAGCCTAGATCAACTGGTGAAAGGAGATATTGATTTCCGTAAAATTTTGGGTACAATCAACAAGAAACTCTAGAAGCCTAGATCATGTATAACAATGAAAAAGTAGGCGATGAGTCACTCTGTCAGCTGATCTAGGAGCAAAAACCATTGAGGAAGAATCCGGCGAATACTCCATGGAAGAGTAGAGTAATCATCATTTGAAGGAAAAAGTAAAAAAAAAAATTTACAGATCTTCTATAATGTTTTGATATCTTTTTCTTTCTTTTCTTATCTATCCAAATATAGTTAAGGGATGAAGAAGGTAGGATTGGCCTCGACTCAATCTAATCCAGCCATCTCTACTCTTCTGAGAATAAGTCCAAATTAGCACTATCATCAAGACATCAACACGGACTTGGGTTTAAAGGGTTTAGCAGGAATTTGATCCCTGACAAAGTATCATTGTAACTTGTTTATATTCCACGCCCTATACTATGAGAGATGCTGCATGAATAGTAGGATCGGAGAATTGTAATCCATTTGACATGAGAAGGGAATCAGGCCAAAGGGATCATTTAAAACACCAAATTTCCAATACCTTTGGTTCTCCCTCTTCCAGTCTTCCCCCACAAAAAAAATCTCTTCCCATAGTATTTATTTTTTTGCTCCTTGGCCTAGCTAGTAGCCATAAAATTACGAGTCCAGATCTCCTACTCATTCTCATCCTCTTATATAGTATTATACAGGGGGAGATATTTCCAATTCATGGGGGTAATGTGTTGTGTGTAGACCTGGGCAAGTGATCCGGATTCTAAAGTTACTAGTTTGGAACAACAATGATGACACTCTTCATCATAATCATAGTTTTTAAAACTGAACTGGTCAGGGGTCCGGTTATCAGTTCGAACGGTCTGACCATTTGACCCGAATGGCTAGCCCGTTTTGACAAAAAAATAAATAAATTTAAAAAAAATTAAAATTAAAAAAAACGGTCAAAACCGTTCGAACGGTTAACTGGCCAGTTCAGCGGTTTGCTGACCAAAATCAATGGTTTTGGGAAAAAACGGAACCGGTCAGTTGATCAGTTTCCAGTTTTTCCAATCCGACCATCCAGTCCGGTCCGGTTTTGAAAACCATGATCATAACAGTTTGCCCCTTCCAGCTTTCAATTTTGGATTGTAAATTTTCTATTATTTGATGCCTCTCCTCTTTCAAGTTAATTGATTCTTGTAAGGGTGTCGATGGACCGGTTTTGGATTGGATCCCCATCCAGTTCAAAATCAATTTGGATGGATTGGATGGATCAACAAGACATATTGGACTGGACCAATTCGGTCTAAAATATTTATTAGATTTGACTGGATTTGGTCCGTCTGTAACAAATTTATATTGGATTGGGTTGGATTAAGCAAAGATCTGGTCAATTGATATAATATAAGAATATATGTGTAAATGGACCGGGTTTGAGTTGAAACCAATCAAAATCAAAATGAACTAAAACATATTGGATGGTCCAGATATTGAACTAGACCGGTCTAAATTGGTCCAAAACATTCATTGGATTGAATTGGACCTGGTCCATTTATAATGGACTAGATCAGGTTGGACCAAATCCGGTCCAATTGACACCCCTAGATTCTTGTAGTCTACAACCCAAGTATCTCTCATTTTCTGCCATGTATATAATATTCAATATTCTCTCTCTATCTCTCTACAATGTATTTTTACTGAATAAAATGGAGGATTTTTGAGACCATTGCCCAAAAGTAGCCAAGAGCTCCTTCATGTGATGTACTTCTTTAGCATATATCACTAGTAGATATTAAAATGTCATCTACGAACAAAAGCCACTATTACCTATACACACTCCATTTTTTTTTTTGCACACAAAAGCAGCTTCATTGATTAGAAGATAATTGTACATGATTGTGGGTAGTAGGAAGAATCATAGATGCCATTGAATAATTTGGAATGGACTGTAACACTGACTTCACTAATGTAGTTCTTCCCCCTCGAGAGAGTAGCTTTGAGCTCCCTGAATTAATTCTAGAGCGTATGTGGTCCAACAATTCTTTGTTAGAAAGAATTGTTGGACTTTTGATATTTAGTGCCCCACAAGGATTTACTCACCTTGAGAACTTTGGAGAAGAACTTTTGATGCTGACGTGGTACATTTCTGCTAAACATCAAGCTTGATTTCCCATAATTGATTTTCTGAGGGCCTTGATTTGTAGTAGATTAGCCTTATAGAAAAGTATATAGTCATCAGCAAAGAAGAGATGTGTGATAGGTGTGCCATCACAACATAATTTGATACCTTTTATGAAACCTGAACTAGCCGCATTGTTTAATAATTGGGTGAGGACCTCCATGCCAATAATAAATAAATAAGGTGAAAGTGGGTTTCCTTGACGAAGACCTCTTTTGAGATGAAAGTGGTCATGGGATTCCCCTCCTAATTTGATGGAAAAAGAGGGAGTGGAGATGCACTAATATATTAGATTGCACCATTTACTAAGTCTCTTCATTTTATAAAGAGTCTCTTGCAACTTCCCTTACTAAAAGAATGTTGTCCACAATTTGCCTCTCCATTAAAAAAACCTATACACACTCCATTAAGGTCATGATTGTTAAGAGACGATAAGAATAATCTAGAGAGTACATCCAATCCCTGAATAAAGAGGTGAGGTGATAGTGAGAATCACTCCAATGGGGAAAGAATTTGGAAAATAAGTATTACCATTCAGTGCAATAGAAAAAGATTACAAAAATGATCTACAAAACCCCATAATTTTAACATGAGCCATTCCATCTTATCATAGGCTTTTGAGAGGTCTGATTTAAGAATAAATGTTCCAAACTTACCCATAATTAATAATCTGTCTACCGGGGGGTGGAAGTCTATAATGGAGTGGTGAGACTTTTAGCATGAATTTTAGCCAATACCTTATACACCATATTGCTGCAACCAATCGACCTGAATTCCGACACCCATTCCATGTCCTTTTTTGGGATGAGAACCATATTGGTTGCATTCATGGCATCAATTTCCTTAGGATTTAACCACAACCATTGAATATAAGAAGTGAATTCTTTAGCAAGAATCTTATAAGAGGACTGATATCGCCTTTATTACCTAAGGCTCAGTTTGGAAAGAGTACAAATACAAATATGTACAATGCAAATACATATAAAATAATGCAAAATACAAGGTTTTGCACCCTACAAGGTTTAGCTCAGTTTGGATGGAGTACAAATACAAATATGTAGGGTGCAAAACCTTATATTTTTGCATTATTTTGTATGTATTTGCACTGTACATATGTATTTGTACTCCTTCCACGCTAAGCCTAAGCGAATAAACTTTAGTGCAATTTTTGTTTCCTTGACTTGCCTATTTGAATTTGCAACTAGAAAACAAAGTGATGGGGGGGGGGGGGG